GGAAACCCTGTACAGGGTCGCTATGGGTCGGAACAGACTCAACGGCACTTAACAACGACAACAACATATATATAGTACTAGTGAAATATAATCCATTGATACTGGTTAGGAAATTTGTTTGGTAATATGTTAACAACATCACATTTACTCTGGTTAACTTAAAGCCCAAAAGGAATTGATCCGAAGAGAATTAGGTTACTCACAATCTTAGGCAGGAATCAGAGAAGAAGCAGGACAAAGTCAAAAGTTTATCCCAGGAATGGTCAAACGAAGTCATTGCTACTGTTGTACCAACAATACTTGTAGCCTCTAAATTCTGGTCAGAGACTGCACTGAACCTATGATTGATTATACTCTTTAGCTTTATGCAACATAGTAAGTATACCTTCTTTCAAGCTTCCGTAGTGGGTGGTGGGTCCCTGTGCCTCACCCATCTTGGGATTTTCCCATGAGACAGAGGGAACCTCCGGTGCTAGGTAACCAAACAATAGAATTTGACTTTGCTGATGGGCAGAGAGGCCATTTTCCGGAGGATGTCTTGAATCTAGACTGAGTAATGACCTGAGAGTTTGGTCTGGCTTTAATTAGCTAAGTGATGTGAGGCAGATTGTTGAACTTCTTTGGACATCTGTGTCTTCAGACACCGAGAAGAGATTGTGATGAAAACCTCAGTCGTATTCCTTCCAGGAATGAAATAAAAATATAAATACAGTAATAGAAACAGATCCCTACTAAGTGACTCTTCTAAGTTAAGAGTTTTGTGTCTGAATTACAGAGAGAGGAGAGGACTGTTGTGGGGAAGTAGTCATTGCATAGGAACGGAATGAATGTTTAAGATGCTGCTTCCATCGCTCCACCCTACATGTGGGCTAATCTAGGGCAAATTTCTCAGACTCATTTCTTCTCTGGCAGCTGGTGGTGGTGGTTGTTGGGGGTTATGTGCTGTGAAGTCGGTTCTGACTTATAGCGACCCTGTACAGGGTTTCCGAGGCTGTAAATCTTTATGGGAGCAGAAAGCCTCATCTTTCTCTTGTGGAACAGCTGGTAGTTTCAAACTGCTGACCCTGAAGTTCACAGCCCAGTTCATAACCACTACTCTACCAGATGTCAAGAAAACAAAAGTCCTCACCACTGGACCAATAAACTACATTCTTATCAATGGAGAAAAGATTGAAGTTGTCAAGGACTTCATTCTTCTTGGATCAACTATCAACACTCGCGGAAGCAGCAGTCAAGAGATCA